AACATCCAGGTCTAGAATACAATTTACGTTGCATCCTACCATGCATTCTTTTCATGTTAATTCATTGCACTTGTGAAACCCTTGCTCACAGTAATATGTCAGCACTGTCAGATGAGGGAGCACAAAGAAGTCATGAGGTATTTGCTGCTAGTATAATAGGAAACTTACAGCACATCGGTAACCTGCCAGTTGTCATCCTAGCAAAAGAAATGGAAGGAGAACGGCTGAAAGGTCTCTGCAGACGTTTACAAGGAACTTCTCCCTAATACAAAAGAAATCTTCAACGGGCTCCTTTGACACTAACAACTGAGCATTGAAGTAGGAAGTGAACCACTCAGAACTGAATGAGAAACAAGCAGGAGAAGAGGCAGCTTGTTGAAAGTGTTTAAAGTGAGGAGGGATGAGAAGGGATTAAAAGAAAAGAGGATGACACAAGCAAAGAAATTAGGAAAACTGATACCAGCATATGGGTAGGTCTTGATGAACCACACTCTCCGTTTTCCTTGGCGGAAGTGAACTGGTGGTGCATCTTTCTCATGCTAGCCAGAAGGTGGTGATGTTTTCAAATAATTTGTTTTCATGCGGTTTTCAAACACAGATGGTTTGTAAATATAGTAAGGAGAACGCTTAAAAGAAGTAACTTCTACTGGTTGTCCCAAACTAAAAATAACCTATATAGAATAAGGCCATATTTCATCGCTGTCTTCACTGGCATGCATTTGATACCAATTCTTTTAAAAAGCACTCTGACATTGTTAGAAAACATTTACTTCTCACTTTGTTCTTACTGTGACTCCTTTTCAATGAATGCTACTGCATTTGTTTGATGGAATATTTATTGTTGAAAAGGAATGTAGCGGTTACTGGCCTTGTCACTTGCCATCACTCACTGAAATGGGAAAACTTGCAGGTCATAAATAATGAGGGTGACAAACACCTCGCAGAATGGGCTGCTGTATGTACTCTGACTTTTACATCATGCCACAACAAACTAGATTGAGTGCTGAATTTTCTGCTTATGCACATCCTAGAAAAGTTCTTTGTTTTTATTATCTTTTTTACTACTTGCAGATGATCTAGGTTTGCTGTTCATAAGTGCCTAACAAAACTCCAGTGTCAGTCAAAGCTGTGGACTTCCAGTCCTTCTCTTCAGGGATGATCAGTCTGGCTATCGTTCCTTATTGAACGATATTGCTTCAGCTTTAAACAACACCGGGTCAATGGCTCTTGAGAACCAAACTGATGTGTACCCTTGTATGTTCTGTCTCCTGAAATTGCTTTACAACTGATGAAAATACTGAATTCAGTAAGGATACAAAGCAGTAGATGTCTAAGCAGATTTAGGCATTTACTCTAGATATGTTTTTTAAATGAGCACTGCTCAAATCCGTGTGATTTTTTTCATCCTTGCTACCAAACTATTTAGCGTTTGTTCTTTTAGTATTCTTTTTTTTCAGCATGATGATTTTCCCTGTGGCTGTGCCGAACAGATCCCGCAGATACCATTTGTATAATTAAGTCAGTCAAATGGATGCCTGAAATTAGCTAAGACCAGATTTTAGTGTCTATTTAAATGCCAAGCACTTGGAAGTTCCCTGTAGATTGACTTCCGCTTGGAGTCTATTGAAACTGCTAAATCTTTAGTGTGCCCATCTATAGGAAAGGCTGTCTATTTTGGAAGACCTGGGTTGAATCTCTGTTTCAGCTGTTTCACATATGACACTTAGCAATGCTTTAAAGATTAAGAAATCGGTGACCATTGATCCCTTGAGGAGCAAGCTTGCTTAAACGTTCATTCTGTGAACAGAGTTAGGTAGAGTCACTGCCTGAAATAGTACAGGGAAAGCTGTTGTCCCAAGAGGTCCCTTGTTTCCAGTGCTGCTTCCTAAAATGTTCAGTTCTTGTTGATGCTCTTCACAAGATTTTAATAAGACTGTAAGTAGAGATACATTTTCAGTTAGCATGAGAAAAGTACAGCTGCTATTTCATCGTTTTTTATTCTCATGAACTAAAATAGTAGAGGAAAAGGCAAAAGCACTATTTTCTTTTCTGATGTGAAGGTTTTTTTTTTTTTCTTTGCTCCCACTATGTAAGTGTTGCTGGCAAAGAGAGGTTTAGCATGGATGCAGGCTTGGAGAAGGTTTCTCCAGTAAGCAGGTGATTCCGTTCTTCCTGTAGAATTCTGCCCGCACGTGATTAATCCTGGCGTGATCTCTGATCAGCTGCTCTACCGGCTTTGTTATGCGCCTCCCATAATCTGAAGATGACAAAACAGCGACAGGTCTTTCCATTTCCTGTGAAAATACAAAATTCTCCTTATAAAAGAAGCACAGAGCAAATACTAGGCAGTTACTGTGCTGTGGCGTGGGCTAAAACAACAAAACTGTACAGCATCTGCTAGAGGAAGGGATATTTATTTAGCAGTGAACTGCACTTTTACCGTTCCATCCTTGACCTAGTTTTTTAGGCATATTAATAAAACATGAATATATCACTGGCTGACAATATGATAAGATGTGGAGTTGTGCCCTGAATTACTGTGGACTGATTTTTTTTTACACATACACACACGCACGCGTGGTGGTGATTACCATGGGATTATTGGCAAACTAAATACTATGTTACTGGTAAATTGCACAGATTATTTTATTTTCATTTTTAGATTTATTTTCATTGTGCACTGACTTGCTCAACTCGTCTGAGAAATAAAATGGATTTGCTCTGCGTACCCTACTACAGGAGCACATGCTCTGCTTGCACAATTCAGTGAAACCACTGCATGACAAAAATCCAAGCTTAAAGAAAAACCCTGAGTAACCACTGGTCCATGCAGCTTTCCCCTGAAGAACGTAAAGCTGATGCTACTGGATGTTTGCAGAATGAAAGGTTTTACTAGAAACGCTTGCAGCTGTAAGATTATGAAAATAACCGTTCTGTGATGACGAGAAGCGAACTTGCTGAAAAATAACCCAACTCAGAAAAGATTATTTTTCAGCCTGTGCTTAGTAAACTGCTCTTTAAGAGACTGTGCAATCACTATCTGCAATTCGCAGTTCCTTCCTGTGCTACGGCACCAGGGAGCTCTGGAGGCAGAAGGCAAAGACAGGATTTGTTTGGTTTTCTTCCCCTAGCCAAAGGTCACGCGTGGAGCAGATTGTGTATGTGTTTGCGCAGCAGCTAACATGATGAGCCTTGGTCCCCAGCATGTTTACCTAGAACTATGATATAACTAATATCTACAAGGAACATCAAAAGACAGAGTCCACACCGTGGTTCGGGTGCGAGCTCTAGGTCGGAGATCGCTGGGAGGATGCTGCAAAGCCTTTCCTCAAATAAAACAGAAACCCCCATTCCAAAACAACCATTCTCCCCTCACCTTGCCCTCTCTCTTCCCTTGCCACCTGTCTTGCTCCACCCCGTTAAAAGCTATTCAGTACACCGTCTTTTAACCGCCAGAACAACAATCAACAGCCGAGAAGCGTGGCAGGCAGAAAGATAAAATCATTTCCTCCTCCTCCCCTCACCCGTGGATCAATGCTGAAAAGGGAGAAATGAGAGATGCTTTGTGCCCTTAAGGAGGACTTTTGCTAGGGATACTGGGTTTACAGTGCCAATAACAGGCAGCGGTATGTAATCCTGATAGCTTTATTTTCCCTTTAAATAAATAGATGCAGTTGGAAACAGCCTGGGTAGCACAGCGCTGAGCGTACCCGGCGGCATTTCATTATTTTTGCAGGGGCTGCGTTCAGCAGATTTCAAGGTTGCCAGCAGTTGCCTGGGAAGCGTCCCGCCACATGGTTCTGTGGCCTGTAAGTCTGCCGCCATAACCCCAGAAATCGGCAACAGCATCCGTGAGGGAGCACCCTCGCTGCAGTCACTGTGTTAGTTAGAGCTAAACTGAGTACCGGCGACTGCGCTGCTAGACTCCCCGAGCGCCCCAAGGCTCTCTGTGGGAGAGGAAGGGCTTGCTTGCACAGGGTTGGCCTTTTTTCACGCCTAAGAAAGGATCGTATTGTGGTGGATCCAGTCAGTCTCCTTTTAGTGCTGTATGAGAGAGATGTCAGTCTTAGGCCTTTTTATTTGTATGTTTTATAATATAAACACTATTATATAAAGTCTGTGAGTGGCGCTGGGCTAATGAGAGAGGTGAAGTTGAGTATGGGACCTTCATCTAGTTGTGGGTAAATCCAGTTTTGGGTGTCATCATGTACATGAGGCTCACTCTGTAACATTTAAGAGCTGTGTTTTTTCTGTGGCTCCATGCTAATTAAAGGCCTGGATTAAGGGACACCTGCTCAGAATAGTTCCCAGGCAGGGTCGTTTGTGCGCGTTGCCTAACGAGGCTGGTATGTGTTCCGGCCCGTGGTTCCTAAAGGTGAGTTTGGCTGATATTGCAAGGACACAAGATCTCAATATGAAACCTTAAATTGCTTTTTACACAGACTTTCCAGCGGGCGGTTGGGTTTGGTTTGGGGGGCTTACTTTCTTTTTGGCTTCGTTTTGTTTAAACGAAAGGCTCATTTTCAACTGGAGTTGTCATTTACATGGCTTTTGGCCTCGTGCAGATTTGCAGTTGAGTTAGTAAGTGTGAGCAGGTGACATTAATGGACACTTTCGTGATTGCTAAGCATGTGCCTAATCCTCTCTGTACTATCTGCTAGAGCTGAAGGAGATTATGGCTGTGCACTGAAATATTTGACATATATAACTAGTACCTAGGCGGGTAAGAGAAATCCGAAGCAGTGGCCTTTGTTCCAAAATCTTGACAGTTTTATTACATGGCAATTAGAGTAATTTTGTCTCTCTCTTTCCTTCTCCTTCTCTGTTGCAATATAACCACCAATATAGGCAGTCATTCCTAGCTGACCCACCTCTTCCCATCCCATGAACCCTTTAGCCTTTTGAGGCCATTAACACACGCAGGTTGCACTTTGTTTTTGATGTCTTCTGTCCCTGTATATATATATATATGTTAGTCAGCTGTTGTCTAGAAAAAAATGTGTATTTTTTCATATATGATATGTTATCGTATTTATATTTTCAAGGCAGCTGGTTAAGAAAATGGTGGCATGCTTCCTTAGCTATGAGGCTGAACATCAAGCCCTGACCCTACTGGACTTTGCTTTGAGCAGGGCAGCCCTTTCCGGGCAGGTCCCTGATCTTCTAACCGACCTCTCCTTTGCACCAGCTCCTTTCCAGTTTCCCTCCTGCAGACCAGCCTGGGGTAAGTTTGACTAACAAATATCCCAGTGCAGATCCACAGCATATCAAAGAGAAGGAACTAGCTCAGGAAAAGAGGGAGAGGGCGTCTTTACTTGTTAGCTCTTTCTTCTAAACCTCCAGGCTGAGGACATTGGTGTCCTCCTTCTGATTCCTTTGCTACCATATAGGTTGCATTATACGTGGTAAAACTGTGCTCATGGTCTCCAGGTGTGTCAAAATGAGCAGAATGACTTCAACAAAGATCACTATAAAATTATTAAAGCGTTACCTCATCATTTATGTGAAGACCTTGATTCTTCGCATGTTCTCTGTCACATCGGTGAAGATACTTGTTGTAACCCACTGGTCTTTTAAAAATGGAATCATAAGTGGAAACACTCCCTGTCTTGAGAAAAGGGGGGAAAAAGGCTAATTTATAGTATTGTTCAACTTTATAGGTTATACAATATATGTAGTCAAATGAACAGTTAAACAGTGCATGTGCAGCTTTAGATGATGGTAATTTTAGCATTATTGAGTTACTCTTAGCAGATTTGTGTCATTTGGAATAGTCTGAAATAAAAAACATCTAGTGATAGGTTATTTGAGTTTTTTTTTTTTTTTAATTATATTCAGCTCATCTCTGAAATTTCCCTGTGGGAAATTTTCTCTGTTTTCCCCTGTAATCTATTGTAACTTTTGGAGTTTGACTGTTTTATTTATTTATTTATTTATTTATTTATTTTGCTTTTCCACATCTGAACTTTCTATTTTCCTTCTCAAGTGTCTCAACTTGTCAAATGATCTATCACTGTAATGTAAAAGGAAAGCAGGCGGTTTCAAAATTCATTTGGAAGGAAAAAGACACAGTTACCCCATAATGGAATCACCTTTTAACGTCTGATTAAAGCAGAATTTTGAACAGTTTATCACACTGGTAATCTTGTGGTCGAGTAGTATGCATGAAAACATTTTTGTCACGTATTTAAAAAAAAAACCCAAAAACTCAAGCTGGAATATTATTGCATTTACGATATCTGCTGACATAGCTGCAAGTAATACAGAAGACCTGATCTGCTAAGAAATTCGTTAATGAAATGTATAATCAAGAAATTCTGATCAATCCATGTATTGCAAAGAAATAAAGTTCTGAAGGAAAGAAAAGCAAAGAAAGATCCCTGTTGAATATGCTGTCAGTTGTTTATGAGCTTCATTAAAATCTTTATATTCTGGTAAAGATGTCAATCTATCACTTGTGCACAGCTAACTACAAATATGAAAAAGTATGTGTTTTACTGGGCTTTTTGTTTTTACTTTGATTTTACCGTATGCTTAATTTAGCTCTTGAAAAATTCAAGAGTTATGACTCTTACCCTTTCCATTGCTGTGCTCCAAAAATATTCAAGTCAGGGCAGGTCAAGAAGGCTGTAAGAATCTCACTGAAAGGAAGCCTCAGATAAAAATGCTACTGAGGCCCTGCTGTCACCGTAGGCTGCTTTTTGGAAGGGCAGAGGAGAGGTGTTTTGATTTTTAACCTATCTAGCCCTTCTTTTCTCAGAAACCGTCAAGCCTCACAGAATTTCAGGCATATTTAAAAGCATCTGATTTGTCACTTCCATTATTTCCCTGCCCCCTTGCTTACTCTTTCCTCCCCATACTACCAACTTTATTCGTAATTTTAGGGGAGGTTCCACCAGGAATTATTTTCCCCATGGCATTATGTGCTTATTTGTTTTTATTTGCAAGGCATTATTTGGCCGTTACTCATTACCTGTGCCAGAGCAGGTAATTTCAGTCTTTTTGGAACTTGCAGATAGGTAGCGAGCCTGTTATGTTAAAAACTAGCCCTGTCCCAGATTAGCGGCTTAAAGATCTTCTGCCGGAAATGTAGAGACATTTCTATGCTCAAGGTCCATTTTTATCACCTTGCACATCAAGGCCCATCTAATTGTGCAATGCCTGGTCGCTGCATTTTTTGACTCTACACACTTTGCTGATAGCTCTTTGCTGTTGTTTCTCTTTGCTGTTAAATGCCAACATAGTAGACCTAGGTCGAGAGTACATTTGGGGGAAGCTGTTTCATAAAGCTATCAGAGCAACTGAATCATGTAGAAATGACAAGTAAGTTGTCCCCAAGGTGAGCATCCTCTATGCACTGCTACTAAAGTTAAGCACTTTGCAAGCATTCATTAATATTCAAGGCGTGCCTGTGAAATAGGTCCTTCTTCATGTCACAGAAGAGGAAACACAATGCAGACTGGCTACATTAGCTTATGGAAAGCAATATAGGGAGTAATTGTCAGGTGAGGGATGAAAAGGCAGGAATTCCTGGCTTCTGGCCATGTGCAGAGGACATCTTCCTCTATTTCTTTCTGCTGCAGTCTCCGATGCACAGTTGATTTTAGGGCTCTAAAGTTGAAAAAAGGAACGAAATTCCTTTTCCTAGCTAAATAGAAGTTAACTGTGCGGAAGAACGGGTTAAATCTGTTTCTTCCCCCTGGCCAAGGCCTGCCCTGTGTAGAAACTTATTAAACAGCTGTTATCACTTTCCATTTCCATGCCAGTGGAGCAGCATTTTCTACACACCAGGTCATCTGGAGTGTGAAAGCGGACTTTATATTGTAAACAAAAACTCTACCATATGGTTGCTAATTTCCTGCAGCCAGGATATATGTTCTCCCTGCGAGTCCCATCAGCTCTGGGCACACCATGGTCAGCCCTCTGCCCTTGCCTAGCTTTGCTCTTGTTGTGCTCCCCTCCCTGCCTTAGTTTGTTAAGCGTGGCACCAACTGCGCTCATTCACGTTTTGGCTCAGAGCACCTTCCCAAGGTAACACTGAGATCTGAATAGGAGAATCTAAAATGATAAATCTACCAGGGCCACTCAGTCAATGCTGGAAATAGCCTTGCTATTTCACGACCAGCTTTGTGCCCCCCTATCCAGACCCTGGAGGAACATGCACCAGCAAACTCTCACATATTGCCAGGCATCACTGGTCAGCGCTCTGCACGTTCAGCAGCCTGCCGTTTGGCAGGGGAGATGATCCACAGGATATGTGCACTAGTAGAAAAAAAAATAATACTCAGGGTAGGAATTCCTTGAAATGAGAAAGTTTCAGGTTGTGAATGCCAAGGGGAAGGGGGCATCTCCCCGAGGCATAAAGTGCTCAATTCGGGAGAGGGGAAATGCGGAGAACACCCTTGTCCACTCGGGATTTCCCTGGGAGCCAAGGCTAAGTAGCTCCCTGCTCAGTGCTGAATGTTGTGAATCACATTTTAAAGCTTCCGACTTTTGCCGAACACCATAACGAGAAGTTTAGAGACTAGTTTAGATACTCTAGCCCTGGAGTACAGGGCTTCATTCCAGTACCGTCTAAATGTGTATGATGTTACTCTGTGTCATGTTATCTTAATGTCTTTACGGATTCAAGTTAAGCTAGTCTACAAGATATAGCAATTTATTCTGAAAGAATTGTATCTACAAGTGTTACAAACCCCAGTTGTGCTGGTAACTAAAACCAGTATTTCATGGGTATTGTCATAAATATATATTGCCATAATATTGCTATATTACACTGCTGTAATAGATACTTGAGAACTTTTTATAGCTAATTTTTTGTGATAAAGTTGTTATGTTCAATGTCTCATATGACTATTTCTTCAAAGAGAGAGAGGTTTATATCATTTCTGAGATATATACCGAAAAAAAAAAAAAAGCTTGGACTGAGGACTGAGAGAATGACGAGAAAGATTCATATATTGAAGCACAAAGTGTCGGGCTGAGTCTCCTACCTAGTCTACTTCTGTTATTACACGTCAAGTGACAGTGCTCCACCTTCAGAAAAATTCAGTTATCTCTGCGCAGGTTTGGAGAGGGCTCTATTGATTTTCTTTTTGTACTAAAGGTGAGCACGTGCGAAACTGGTGTGGTGCACGCTGAAACCCCTCGCCTGGAAAGGGGACAGTTCCTCATGAAAGGGTTGCAGAGAGCCGGGGGGTGCCCTTTTCTTTGTTATTGCTTTTAACCCGGTATGGCGGAATAAACCAGCAGGCCTCTAAAATGTTAATGGGATTTTTCCGAACAGTTGCGAGTGACTCGTGATGGGCCGAACCCACTGCGCAGCGACAGAATGCAACTTCATTAAACTGCACAGAAATGGGCCAAGCAGTTTTGCTGGCCTGCCTCCCCTCACTCGTGTCCCTGGGGCTCCGGGCAGCTCTCGCCATTTATTTTTTGTCCCCTAGCCTGTAAACTGTGCTCTGGGGAGCAAACGTCTTCTAGTCGCCAAGCATCTTTTCGGCGACGTATCGCTTTACTTTTGGGGAGGGGGTGCTGACCATGCGCGGGGTCATCTCTCCTTAAAATTAGCGGTTTGACTTTTACTCTTCCCTGGACCTTCTCCAGCTTTTGTGACTCCCCCTTGAACCTGCCCTGCGTGTTCCCTTCTCCAGCTTTCTCCTTTTTAAACTCCTTTCGCCCTCACCTTGGCCTGCCGGTGGAAATAGCTGACCTCCGGCGGGTCCCTCCGCCCCGGCGGGACGTAGCTGAAGGCCGACTGGGCCGATAGGGGAAGCTGGTGTCTCCTCCTCGCCGGGCCGGCCAGTTTCTCCTCTTCTTCTTCCTCCTCCTCCTCTTCCTCCTCCTCCTCCCCCTTCACTGCTGCATCTCGCGCGTCCCGGGTGCTTTGCATGGCCCTTGGGATGAAGCTGGCCCTTGGGACGGAGCTGGCCGTTGGGCCGGAGCCCGGTGGGGCTGTGTTGTGGGGTCTCCAGGCAACGCTGCGGGCGGGCGGCCGGCCAGGAAGGCAGGCCAAGGCCAAGGCCAAGGCGCAGGGAGCTCCTCCGCGGCCGGCCGCGCCGCCTGAAAGCCCCCCACCCCGGGCGCGG